GGGGTTCCGCGTAGGCCTAATGTTAAAATGTCGGGGGACGTCGGCCATGGCCGTCTCATATCCCAACGCTAGATGCATTGTGGAAACAAAAGTCGACCCAAGAGGAATTTTCTCCCATGGTGTTCAATATTTGGCGGTAATCGCTAGGAGGCAGCACGTCAGCATCGGCAAGCATTAGTTCCCAAAATGGAAGTCACGGCCGTTGACCGGCAGGCAAAGAAGTCAAAGATGGCCCAGAACATAGAGAAAAGAACGCAACTTGATGTCCAAGTGTCTTCGGCGACGACATCTCAAGTCCTCGATCATCGATGTGAACCAGCAAGGGTGGCGCTGGCCACTTTCAACGCCGCCGAGTGCTTTCCCAAACCACTGGAACTCGGCTGTTGATTGAGCTGTCCAGGTACCTAGTGTCCATGACCTTGACTAATTCAAGCCGGCAGCGAAGAAACTTGAGTATTGGCGGTAGTTGGTGTAAGGCTAGACAAGCTCAGAGACATTAACGAGTGGCGGAGAAACCTGTCCAGGTTTACTTGGACGAATCTCTCCGATCCATGTCAACAATGTCAGAGATGACAGTCTGTGTATTGAAAGCGCACTGGTTGTGTCACTTGGTTCCGTCATGAAGACGGGACATTTTCGATCTTGGTTGCTCGCCAAAGTCTTTGGCCAGCTCTGTGTAGTTGGACCAAACCTCTCACTTGCATCGTGGCAGAGAGGTCATTCAAGACCCCGCGATCTTTGAGAATGTGGTATGTATACGAGGTCCTGAGGTCACATCGCCATGCATTACATGCATACGCGCAGCTGCGATGATTGTCAGCTCCTGTGCATCTGACAGAAAGGCCGGCTTGGCATTGGTTGGCTTGGCCGCCACATCAGATTGCAACCTCAGGAAATGGCCCAAGCATCCACTGCAGTCATTTTCGAGAGAAGACTCTTAAGCCATGTAGAAAGGTATGAGGCGTTTGTATCATCGACGGAAGAGAAAAAGGCAAGGCGGCACAGGAAGTGGCTTGCGGCTTGTCGGGGCTGTCGAGGCTGGCCGTGGCCTCGCCCAGCGCTGCTGGTTTGGCTGACGCTATTGAGCCGAGCCAAGTAGCTAGTTGACTCAAATAGAGTTAATCAGCGTTTGGGACATTTCCCGGCATATGAGTCGCTGGACTCTTTTGTGGGTGAGTGGCGGACGAGTAACCGCGGGGGCGGTTCAGTCGAGATTTTCGTCAAGCTCTAGTTACTTCGTGGCTTCATCGATGTCGGCGGGTTGTTTCGTAGCTCTTCGCAAGTACATTCAGTCTAACCGACATGCTTTTCTGTTACGGTAAATCAGCGAAGAGAGAACTGCATCGTGGAGACGTTCGATTTGTTAATGCTTCCGCAAATGTTGACCCCATGATCAGTCGCAATCTTTTGCCGTGACTGAGAAATGTACCTTATCGATCAAGTGCCAAGTTTCCGACCGATAAGGTTGTCTCGGCGAGCAGTATCCTAATGCAGGTCTTCTAGATGGTGGTCAGCATTTGCCAATAATGACACCTGCATGGCCTCAGCTATCCCGGAGTGTAGGCGCCTCGACGACAGCAAATGATGGCGGAAATTGTACGGATCACAAAGCCCCGACCAGGTGCGAGTTGGTCACATACGAACCGGGCAATCTAGGCCCGCAGCGCTAAAGTGGAGAAACTTTGGGAGAGTTGGCCAGGTCGAATCAAGAACTGTCCCTCCAGCCGTAGCTGAGAGCAGGGAATTCTGCCTAGAGCGGGGGAAAGAGATCTCCAGGCGTTTGTGAGGAGCCCAGTGAGCGCCTTGTCGTATGCTGGATCGAAACCTGAAAAGAAACTTGCTGCGATGTGTTGCACGAACTGCAGGCCGTTACACATTTCCCACGCCGGGTTTCAAGGCTGAACGGAATAGTGGGATGCGATATCGAACGGTGTGGATATCTCGAAAGGTTTAGCTTTAGGTTTAGTTGTCTGCATCCGACTTCGCCGTACGTCTTTACGTTTGATAGCAACGGGCGAGGCTCGTTACCGTGTCGTTGGTAATGTGGTCCAGTTCGAGTTTATTCTTGTGTTTGTGGACGGTGTGGCTACCGGAGGATTCGGGGAATGGGACGGATACACACTAGGCGTTTCTGTGTTAGGCCTCGAGATGTACCTTGCTGCCATTCCGCTGACGGAAGGAAGGGGAGGACGGGAAGGTCCATCCGTACCTCCCTCAGATAGGTAGCTTCCAGGCTGTTACCTTTCATCGTTTAGAATAGGTATTTGGCGGCGGCACTCAGTTTGGGTATCAAGGCAGTCGCCAGCATCAGATGAATGTGGAAACATCGGATGTTCAACAGCAGGAAGGCACAGGATTACAGCTCTGAACTGGAAGCAGCAACTCAATCTCACTCCTTCCTCTACCCACCCCCTTTTCGCCCAGGGGCATTCGATCCCACGGTATCCACCTAACCTAATCTGGATTAAGGTAACTAAAATGGCAGGGTACCAGGGTCCCGAAGATGCAGAAACGTACCTAGGGAGGAGGTACCTTTCAAGTGTGGAGTTGCAGGGGTCCCTCCTTCCGCGAATCCGCACCACAGTCCACGGGGTCCACGGGTCAGGGGACCTGGTTGCCGCCCGTCGAAATGCCAGTCAAAGAGAAAAGTCAAGTCTTCTTGACTCGTCCAATCTACTGCAAGTCAGCAACTAACATCTCGTATCGTCTGATGGCAAGAAACTGACACAAAAAGCACTGGCCATTGACTGTCTAACTCGCATCGCAATGGCTTAACGGGTCTCGGTTATTAGACACTTTCTAGGCGGGGGTTTTCCTCCCGGCTATCTCAAGCCAAGAGAGCGGTTGCTGGGCTTCGGATGAGAACTACGGCCGACTGCTCGAATCAATGAAGAAGGAAAAGCCTCGCTCCCTCCTTTGACACTTCTTGGCAGAAAACCAAGTTCCCAAGCATCCGGTACCACAGCCGTAATTCTTGCTGGCCTTTGTTCTCACAGCCCACAATGACATTGATGTCTGGTCAACCACGGCAGAGATCCACCGACGCAACGCCTCGGGTCCCATTCTAGACGAAAATCCTTTGTCATTGAAACGGGTGCTATCGTGCTCCAAATTTGGATGCGGCTCGTAAACCACAACGTCGCAGACGAGGAGTTCGAATTCTAGATCTTCCATCTCTAGGACACCGAGCCCAGAATAACAAGCAACACCAAAGGCGTGGGATCGTCACCAGCACTACTTCTCAGCCGCAATTCGAGATAGCTTGCGGTGCGGCTCATGTAGTGCTTCAGAAAACAAGCTTGGCCAGGGCAATAGTAACTCGGGCGTCATGGTTCCAGGTCCTTCACTGCCCATTTTTGCTCTATTCTTCGTGAGTTTGGAGTTCCACGACTGCATGTTTGACGTGTGACTTTTGCCCTGTGATTCTGTATCGAGATCATGGACCGGCATGGTGTTGGGATCAAGAGGATCTGCTCATGGGACCGCGGCGAATGTCGGAGTTTTCTTCACCGAAGATCCCACCTTGAGGCAATGGATACCACAAGCAAACACAGATAACACCCTACATCCTGGACGAGTAAGGATATCCTCGGGTCTTGGTGCCCACCAGACCCAAAGTCTCTTACTCGTATTCCGGCCACGAAACTATGTAAGAAAGAACCTTGCATCTACAACGGCGACAGCGTCTTCGTATCTCGTTCTCGTCGCTGCCTGGGTAAGGTACTTGGTAAGAATACACCGGCTAAGAATGGCAATAACATCAGTCCCCTGCTCCTCGCCCCCTTGCCGGTAAGAACACCTTGCCGGAAAGAGAGTTGGCCAAGTGCTGACTGGGGTGGCCCCTGCATGATCAGACCCCACATCACCCTAAGGTACCGCGGGTACGAACCCCTCTGGCGCTAGTCTGCTCGACGACCCTGATCCCAAAGCGCGCATCTTGGGGAAAACACAACACACACATCTTCCCGTTACTTTCCAGTTGAACGAATTGCAACCAAGTCAGCGCACGCACCCTTCAGTCTGGCTTTTGCTGCCCATCTCCTTGCGTCTGGTGCTTAATCTCCACATATTCAAGGTTGTCATTTGGGCCAAGAGCTGGTCTGGGAGCCCGGCGTTTTCTGCCTCTCGTCTGGCCATACAACCGTCTCTTAGTCCGAAGCCACGAAGCCTCATACTCTGTGCTTTAGAACGCCCCTCTCCCATATTGCCCCCTTCTCGCCGTCTCGCACACACAAGGCGCTTCGCTCCTCCACACCTAAGTGGAGGAGACGGACAATATCATCTGCCACAGACATAGCTATGGAAATAGCGAGAGCGGCACCACTGGAACGGTCCAGGGCGGCTAACGGATTCTTACCCAGGCGTAATGAGTCGAGAGGTTATTCACGGCTAGCATCTAATTCTTTTTCATTGTTTCTCGCCTCGTGTGTATCGTCTTCAGCCCTCAAGCTAGGTTCGCGACCTGACAATGTCCCAATTCTCTCTTCCACCCCTTGCGAGTAACCTCGGTCTTCTCCCATCATCCCAGCCTGGCAACAAGAAGTCAGCTCCCGGCCCACCACGTAGGCTAATCCCACACTACATGCTGCAAGTGCACAGCTCACGCCCATCTGGCTTCCCCGGTTAGCCTTACTGATACTCTTTTGTACTAGCCCTCCATGCGAGCATGGCAACCCCTAGTCCCCTTCTTGGACTCTGTTCCGTTGCAACCTTCCGGGAACCCCTGGCCCACGAGGGGGATATCGCCTCTCTCTCGAGGTGGTAGAAGTCGCCGGGAGCCTAGTCGGGTCTATCGCGTACCCGTTTCCCTAGGGCTCCTTCGTGTTGGGCCGCTTGCTGCCACATGAGATTGCCCATGCCGTGAATCGAAATTCATATATACCTTCATGATTCCCGGCTTCATCATGGCCCTCTTTCCTCTTCACCCTTCACCTCTTCTATACACTCCTTAGTATCATCATCTTGTGTTGGTTTCTGCCTCTTGGCACACACTTGTCACCATGAGGACCACACAGTTGTCTTTCGTTGTTCTTTCTGCGTCTTCTCTCGCTAATGCCCTCGCTTATCCACCTGGCATTTACAAACGCGCGGCGCCTCCCGCAACTCTCCCTCACGGCTACACCTACAAGGGCTGCTATGTGTATGGTAACCCGTGAGAAAGGCTTCGGAACAAAACTCAAAGTGCTGACCAAACAATAGCGATGTCGGCCGAACAATCTCTGATGCCGCCACGGCAAACGGGCAGATGAGTAACGATGCCTGCACAACGTACTGCTACAACAAGGGTTTCTCCTACGCTGGTACCGAGTACTACAATGAATGCTACTGCGGCAATGCCTTGGCCAAGGACGGTGTTCTCGCCAACGAGGCCGACTGCTCAACGCCATGCAGCGGAAACGCTACTCAGCCTTGTGGAGGCCCCAACCGACTGTCGTTATATCAGACGTCCCTCATTTTGGGCCCTTCAGTCAACCCCGGTGTTGGCGACTGGAGCAGCATTGGATGCTACTCGTGAGTTGAATACTACACCGACAACTTTAAGACCAGATAACTGACAAGATTAATAGAGAGGGAACCAATGGCCGTGCTCTCACGTATGGAATCGGAAGCATTCCTGGCGGCGAGATGACCGTTGCCAAGTGCACTGCTGCTTGCGCTAATGCCAACTTCATCCTTGCTGGTGTCGAATACTCTGGCGAATGCTGTAAGTTATTATCGTGCTCTTGATTCTCATCTCAAATTATTAATGCTTTTTCTACCAGACTGTGGCAGCACGATCTCCAACGGCGGTGCCCCTGCCGTCGATGGCTGCAACATGCTCTGCAACGGCAACTCTTCTGAGTATTGTGGTGGCCCCAACCGCTTGAATGTCTACGACTTCCAGCACCAGTACAAGCCTCTTCCTACCTCAACATCCACCCCTGCGCCAACAGGTGCTTCGACTTCCAGCTCAAGCACCCGCACTTCCTCGAGCACTGCTGTTTCCTCTTCCAGCAGCGTCGTCTCATCAAGCAGCGTCATCTCCTCGTCCAGCAGCGTCTCCTCCTCGTCCAGCAGCGTGGTTTCCTCATCTAGCAGTGTTGTATCTTCTTCCAGCACTGTTGTCTCTTCCAGCTCTTCCTCCAGCAGCTCCGCGACCCCCACGCCAACTGGCCCCAGTCAACCCGCGACTGTCGGTGTCTGGAAGTGGTATGGCTGCCAGACTGAAGCTACAAACGCTCGTGCTCTTAGCGCGAAGACAACCGCTTCTGACGATATGACTCTGGAGAAGTGCGCTGCTTTCTGCGATGGAAACACCTTCTTTGGTGTCGAATACTCTCGCGAGTGCTGGTGTGGTAACTCGTTTGCCGCTGGCTCAGTCGCTGCTCCGTCTAGCCAGTGCTCCATGAAGTGCATGGGCAACCAGTTCCAGTACTGCGGAGAGGGCAATCGCCTTTCTGTCTACACCATTGGAAGCGCAACTCAGTCTTCGTCCTCATCCTCGTCAGCTTCATCTTCAACTGTCAGTGGCTCGGTGACTGGTGCCGCCTCATCTACCAGCTCTACAGCAGCTCCCGCTGCCACTGGGTTCCCCACTGGCTGGACTAACCAGGGCTGCTGGGTCGACAACCTGAACGGCCGCATCCTTCCCAACCAGCTTCAAGATGACCCGGCAATGACCCTCGCTTCATGCGCCAAGGCCTGCTCCGATGCCGGTTACACTGTCGCTGGTGCCGAGTACCACACTCAGTGCTTCTGCGGTAATGCCATCTACAACGGCGGTGCTGTCGCATCTGACCCGACATCCTGTAACACTGCCTGTGGAGGTAAGGCCTCCGAAATGTGCGGTGGCGGTAATCGTATGACCATCATCTCCAAGGGCACTCCTCAGACATACGCTCCTCCCGTTCCTCAAAGAAGCGGCTTCAACGGAAGCTGGACCTACCAGGGCTGTGTTCAGGACAATGTCGGAGCTCAGCCTAACCCGCGCACCTTCTACTGGCAGAACCTGTTCCCTGGTACCATGACGGCCGGTATGTGCTTAGACAGGTGCGCCGAGTACGGATACATGGCAGCCGGACTCGAGTATGGTGAAGAGTGCTACTGTGGTGACCCTGCCAACATCGTCACCCAGAAGGCCGCCTTTGTCGACGACTCTGAGTGCAACATTGTTTGCCCTGGAAACCGCAGCTCCATCTGCGGTGGTGGTGCTCGCCTCTCGACCTACTTCTGGACTGGCACTACGCCTCTCTACTCATGGAACTTCGGTACCGATGCTGCCAGTGCCGGTGTCTACGAGAACCTCATTGGCGGTGTGACCATTCCCCTGATGACGATGGAGACCATCACCGGTAAGGTTTCCTTCCTCGAGAAGTTCGGCACTGGCCCGCCCAACTCTACCGGCGCTTACGAGCTCGACCTTTCCCTCGTCCCGGATATCAGCAAAGCCTGGAGAGAGATGCACGTCAAGACCGACATCTTCTGCTCTGCCGGCATCACCCTTCCTGACAAGGCTGGTCGCCAGCTCAACATTGGTGGATGGTCTGGTGATTCTACCTACGGCGTCCGCCTGTACTGGCCCGATGGCAAGCCCGGAACCCCTGGCACCAATGACTGGCAGGAGGACGTTACCAACCTCCGCCTGCAGGATGGCCGCTGGTATCCCTCTGCCATGATCATGGCCAATGGTTCCATCTTCGTCATCGGTGGTGAGGAGGGATCCAACGGCCGCGCTGTGCCCACCATCGAGCTTCTGCCCAGCACTGGTACTAAGCCCTTGTACATGGATTGGCTCGCGCGCACTGATCCCAACAACCTGTATCCCTTCGTTGCCGTTCTCCCCAGTCAGGACATCTTCGTCGCGTACTGGAACGAGGCTAGAATCCTTGACCACGTCACCTTCAACACCAAGACGATTCTCCCCAACATCCCCGGTGCTGTCAACAACCCCAAGGGCGGTCGCACGTATCCTCTTGAGGGAACTGGTGTTCTTCTTCCCCAGCACGCTCCCTACACCGACCCGCTTGGCGTTCTCATCTGCGGTGGTTCTACCGAGGGTCCTGCTACTGCCATGGACAACTGCGTTTCCATTGAGCCCGAAGGCACCAACCCTAAGTGGGTGATTGAGCGTATGCCCTCGCGTCGTGTCATGTCCTGCATTGCCCCCCTTCCTGATGGAACTTACCTCATCAACAACGGTGCTCAGCACGGTGTTGCTGGGTTCGGTCTCGCCAACGACCCCAACCTCAATGCTCTTCTGTACGACCCCTCGAAGAAGATCGGCCAGCGCATCACAGTCATGGCCAACACCACCATTGCCCGCCTTTATCACTCCGAGTCCATCACTCTTCTTGACGGTCGCGTTCTCGTCAGTGGTTCTGACCCCGAAGATGGTGTCAACCCCCAGGAGTACCGTGTCGAGGTCTTCAAGCCTCCTTACCTCACCTCCGGCAAGACTCGCCCTACCTTCACCATCGCTAACACGGACTGGACCTACGGCCAGCAGATCTCTGTCAGCCTCGGTCACGCTCCCGTTAACGGCGACATCACGGTCTCCCTCCTCGGTGCTGTGGGATCGACGCACGGTAACTCAATGGGTGCTCGCACTCTCTTCCCCGCCGTCACCTGCGGGCCTACCACCTGCACCGTCACAGCACCTCCCAACGCCGGTATCGCCCCTCCGGGCTGGTACCAGTTCTTCGTTCTCGACGGCGGCATTCCCGCTGTCGGTGTCTATGTCCGCATCGGCGGCGACCCCGCCAGTCTGGGCAACTGGCCCCAAGTCTCCGGCTTCAAGGTGCCTGGTGTCTAGAAACCAGAATCTTTCCAACATTTAAAGCGTCATTTATTTCCAACTAGACTTGAGCTTTGTGTCCCAGGAGCTCTTTTCATTTTACCTGACCACTTTCACAAGCGATATCCCACACTTTCTCTTCTTCTCGGGCATCTTCTCTCTTTTAGACCTAGGGATAAAAAACACATGTCTGATTACACACAGACACACACAGTCACTATGGCGAAATATGATTTGGGAGTTTATTTTTCGTTATTCAAAGGGAATACAGATACTCATAACGATGTCCATCAAGGACTTGGGTAAATCTCCTACAACGACGAGGCCACACTTGGCATTTCTGCAGACTAGTTTTAGTATATAATTATAATCTTTTAAAATTCACCATCGTGTAGCACCCCGTCGGATGTGATGTGCTCTCGTGACTTTGATAGAAGTTTCGTAAGGAATGAGCTGCTATTGAGGCTGAATCTGGCCCGAATCTTGCAAGCTAGGCATTGAGTTAGACCCCTCCAATTCTTGCTAGACTAGTCTTAGGACTAAAAACTACGTTATTTTGGTCAAACGGAGCGTTTATCGGAGCGAAACCCCTACGGACGAGTAAGATCAACTCACCGCTACTCACCGCACTAGGGAAAGAGCTGAACCATCAAGTCCCAAATAGTATCCCCGTCCTGCATTTCTACAGCGAGTTACATGGGTAGGAACTCATACACTCACCATCTCTAGATTGAGTCTCGATTCTCTTCCTTCCATGCATGTCTTCGGATCTGACAAAGACTCGCATGTACGTAGTATAACTCCGTCAACAAGAATTGTGGAAACGGATACTCCATAAGAGGGCCCCCCGTCTTCCTTTCTCCACCAAATGATTTTCCCTCGGTTCCCTTTCCCTGTGCCTGCATTTGAGGTTACAGCGGTGAATGGAGAGGGAAACAATGATTCCAAAAGATGACCAAAATTTCAAAGCAGGGATCGACGTATTGCATACATAGCTTCGTACATCCGTACATCCAGCCAGCTAGCCAGGTTATCGTCTTTGCTGTTGCCAAACGGGGTTGAGACAATGTGGAGAGAGATCTTTTTTTTTTTTTTTTTTTTTACGTACCGTTTGGGAATATACTATTTGGTAAAGTCGGCAGACACGTCTGAGAGCTGGGCGAGGAGCTCGGTGTGAGAGGAGGCGGAAGAGAGGGAGAAATACGGATACATTGTGTAAGGTGCAGACAGGAAGATTCCACATGCATTGCATACATCTCCACCTTCTCACATGAGGAGCAGTCAGCCCGCCTGCCTGCCCAATCGCGGTGAAGCTTGGCGAGCGCCCCGTTGACAAACCGTTTGACTTCACTTCGTGCTCTTACATTTTGGGACGGAGTGGTCTTTGAGAACCGACGTTTATCGGAGGGTATAGGTCAGAGACCTGTATCTTTTTTTTTCTTCTCTCTCTCAGAGATCAGCCAGAGTCAATATCCAGATGAGGCCACTTTGCCCCTGCTGGCCAGCGTTTGTACAAGACGATGGGCAAGTACTTACACGAGGCTCTGGATATGTGTAGAGTAAACTTGAGACTCTCTCTTGAACGAAATGAAGGCTTGCTTGATTGATATGTAGTCTTTGTAAAGTCCCCTGCTTTCTAGGGGACCATGGTTCTCTGTGCAGTTGATATGTATCTCATCCATGGTCTGTCTTCAGTCTAGGGATGCAAAATATGCGGCCTAAATCCCCTTCTCTGCCTTTTGTAAAAGTCGTGAAACCGTCGTAAATTCATCAGTCGCCTCGGCGCATTAGACGATATGCAATCCACACCTCGCAGCACTTCCGAGCAACCCTTCCCACTCTCGCAGTCAAAATGCCATGTCATGGGCAGGGGGAGGAGGGGGGTGGCCTCCTCTCAGAACAAACCCTCACGTTCAAGCCGTAATCTGCTGTGCACCATACACCATACCCCCAGCATGCGGCACACCAGCCCCCTCATCGACATCCATCTCCCACTCCAGCTCCGGAACGCCCACCTGCTCCATGACCCTCGCCACCACACTCTCGAACGCGTCTCGCTCAATGATGGCGCCAAAATGAATACAGTCCACCACCCCGCAAAACTCCCTCTTGAGCGCCTCAATCACGTTTCCGCGCATCAGCGCCGCGGCCCCGTACCGCGCCGCGAGCTCGAACCACGCCTGCACGGGCGTGAGCTCGATGTCGCCCGGGTTTAGCGTCTTGGCGAGGGCCAACAGGGATTTCAGAGACAGAGAGGATCCCGCGCCCGTGTCGGCTTGCCAGGTGTGCGAGACGGTGGAGGCCTCGCCGCGGCGGATGGTGCGGTAGACGCGGGCGGGGGCGGAGGACATGCAGAGGGTCGAGGCCATCATCGTGTGGCCCGAGGCGGCCTTGCAGGTGTCGCCGTGGGCGGGGAATTGGCGGGGGTGGAAGTGGTTCCAGCAGATGTGTTCCATGCTGTGTAAAGAGAGGTTAGTAAATTACAGCGACGATGATTGCTAGGGGGGGGGGGGGAGTAGTAGGTTTTCTGGCAACATACGCGAGAATGAGGTTGATGGCGATGATCTCCTGTTCCGCAGACAGCTGGTCTGCTGACGGCGGCTGAGACTGGGTATATGTGATCGCGGCCGACGGCGACGAGATCTGGAAGCACGGCGTGCCGAGGGCGTCGTCCTTGCGCATCGTGACTGTGACCTCGCCCATGTTGACGTCCGCAAAGAGGTCGACCGGCGGGTACGGGTCGAAGTCCAGCGTCTGAGGTTGATATGCCACCACCTGGGATTCTTCTTCCGGAGGAGCAGCCGTCGAGTGCTGTGCTTGTTGGTCCTCTGACTGCTGGGAAAGTTGTCTTTGCGCCGGGACGGGAGGTAACTGCTGCTGCTGTTGCTGCTGGACCACCGCCGGCGCCATCGACACCTCTTCCGGCGCCGTCACGGGCTCCTGCGACCCGCGGATCTGCACCTCGCTAACAACGACGCTCTCGCCCTTTGCGCCCCCAGGAGGTACCGCGAATCCTCTTGCGGTGAGGGCGCCCCTCATGCTCTCGTTCTCGCGGCGGAAGGCGAGGACCTCCTTCTCGGCGGCGGCGATCATGTCCCTGAACTTGCAGACGTCGAGCTCGAGCTGCTTGATGTAGTTGGCCTTGCGGGTGCGGTGCTGGATCTGGGCCTTGCGGACCTGCTGGCGGCGGAGCTTGGCCTTCTCTTTGGCCTTTTCTGCGGGCGTGAGGCCGGGTGTCGTTGACTCTGCTGGAGTTGGGGGTTGGACTGCGTTAGTTCTCTAGTCTGGTCTGGAGATCTGTGGTTTTTCTCAAGTGATGGGTTTCCCACGTGGAAGAAAGAAATAGGGAGGGAGACAGGATATAAGCATCTGAGAATGGAAGCCAAGGCGGGAGCTTGGACGTAGACATGAGGAATCTGGGAATGTAGATGACCGTACAGGTGGCATGGGTATTTCGTATATGGGGACAGGTGTGGATGTAAGTGAAGTGAGGGTGGTTAAGGTACGGGTAGGATAGTCTCCGAATAGAGACTGGATGATTCCAGGAGCCAAGCCTCGTCTAGACGTGATTCGCGGGGGTCCATGACCAGCGGTGTGTGCCGCATCGGGCAACCGTCCAGCCGGGAGACGTTGGAATCAAGTCGGGAAGGGGAGATGCCAGGACACCAACTCTCATCCCCCGGCATTGCTCGTGCGGCTTTTCCAGAAACCAACAGGGAAAACGTGGTTCATTGGGTAATGGCCCATGAGAATAGCTAGTTTGGTAGGGCAGGCCAAGCAAGCGAGCAAGCAAGCAGCGGTTGTGGTCGGTTCGCGGATCCCCCGAATCCACCACACCAACTTCGGACTTCTTAGCGGCGGGAAGGGTCTAACGCCACAAGAGGGTTCGGGTGTGATGTGGGTGGCATGATGATGAGGAATCATGAGGAATCCGGCATGGGGTTGACATAGCATAACTCACAAAGCCCATCCCCATCCCTATCCCCATCCCACCACCCACCACTTTCTGGATCATGGATTGTCGGCTCCTGGTCCCCTTCACCCCCCATGAATTTCTCTCTGAGACATCCATGGACATTGATTATGGGGAAGTTGACCGGTTCCACACAAGGTTACTGAAACCACCAACATAATCGATGCGATTCACCAGGACCCTGGCGGTACACTCGTCGATCGGGGACGGGGAGGGGCGGGCGAACGGGCGGGCCACGATGTCGCAGGGAAGGACGGTATGTAGTGGTAGGGAATACCAAGAAAAACAAGCAACGAAGGTGTGTGGAATCATGGAGGCCGAGAATGGTAGGTGGATATGTGAATCAAAAACGGGCGGAAGGAGAATAGGAAAATAAAAATAAGAAATGGGACGAGCGCATGTGGAATCAAGGATAAGACGGGATGAAGGGAAAGACAACTCTTGACACTTGTCATCGCAACTTTGCAATACACAAATTTTTACAAACCCTCCCCAACAAAATAAGAACATTGGAATGAAGAAAACAACACAATATGCTTACAAGAACCCTGCCGTTCCTGATCTCCTCCTCCTCCCGACACCTGCTGCGATGGGTGATCCAACGGCGACGACGACGATTGATGATGGTAAGCCGGACCCTCGTTCACAAACTGCACCCTCCCAGCCCTCTCGCTCTCCTTCTCTTCTCTCCAGTACTCCTCGAAGCCGGCTCGACCGTCGCCGCTCGTTGACCTGTCATATTGCTGCCGTTGCTGCTGCTGGCCTTGGTGTTGGTTGAGGTGCTGCTGCCCCTCCCCCGCCCTCACCGAAGCCTCGTTCTGCAGCCGCACCTGATCGTCCGCCATTACCGCGCGACACGCCGCGAATGTCAATTGAGAATAAGCTGGGCGCTGCAAACTTCACTGCCGACAATGGCGAGGTGGGTGGTGTCGGTCGGTGTTCTGTGGTGGATTGGTGAGATGTGAGTGAGTGAGTGCGTAAGGTGAGTTGAGTGATGAGATGAGAGGTAAGATGAGCGGGGTGACGTTTGGCGTCGATGACTTCCGATTGATCGATCGCTCACCAAAAAAAAAAAGAGTCGTCACGTTTTTTTCCCTCTCTCTTTCGTTTGCAGATGATTAGGTAGACATGTTCCCACCGGTTCGGAGCGGAGTTTTGAAACTATGGGAAGGGGCAGCCCGTGAGGGGATTTCGCCCGCCTTAAAGATGGGCGAATTCCAAATTCCCATGGGCGCCTTTTTCTTTTCTTCTGCCCGCCTTCGGGAGGAGACCTCATTCTCCTCCTCTTCATCAGCGCACCTCCACAAGAGCATGAGGAAAGGGCTCGGAGAATGGAGATGGAGAGGGCGCCAGAGCCAGCTAAAACTTCCTCGCCCATTGGCAGGGACCACCAGAGCCAGAGCGCTGCAGCGTAGTGTACAGCACTGCACAGCACTGGAAACCGCCCCTCCTCCCAGGGATTCTCAGGGATTCTGAGGCTTGTTCGTCCGTCTGCCGGGCGGCACAGTGGCATGTCAAAGGGAACTAACCGACAGGCCGGAGGGGAGAGGGAAGCGAGCGAAAGGGACGGCGCTTATCCAATTGAGGGACAAGTGGCCGATCACCTCACGTGCCTGGCGCCTAACACCGTACCATTTTACCATGGGGGAGGGAGGCAGTGTCACCTCAGCTGCAATCTCGATAGAATCTATGAATTTGAGTTACCTTGATAAGATCTTGGTAAGGTACTGCATACCCATCCATTCCTTTGCGTCTTTTCAAATCAGATTCCCATTGGTGCAACGATTTGTCACTGATGAGATGGGCATCGAGAAACGAAAGGAATGGTAGCGGCTGAGAAGCTGAAGCCCTGAGGAACAAGTCTTGACAATGATTTGATTTTCATTTTACTGGCAGCGACCTTGTTGTGGGTTGACGAAAGCTAGGTATCGGTATCTCTTCCTCATCTTTCTCACATCCACTATTCCTAGAGCGGTTCAGGAATTTTGCTTCTTCAACATCTTCGACATGGTCTGCTTCCAGAAATATCTCCACCACTGTTCAACATCTCAAACCTCTTCGTCGTCTTCTTTACGCCCAAACGCCTTGCGGGAATCGTGTGATCAATGCCAAATTGGCCCAGATTCGCTTGTACTTTTTTGTGACCGTCCAACGCCGTATGAATGCATTTTGATCCCCTTCCTTTCTCACAGAGCCCGCTTCAGTCGTCGTCTTCGTCCTCGCTGGCGGTAGCAGTGTCTTCCTCAACGTCCGTCTCCGGAACGTTCTCGTCGTCGTCGTCTTCGCTGTCACTGTCGGCCGTCATATTAAGACCCGGGATAGCCTGGTAGTGCACGTAATCGTTCTGGACCCACCGCTTGCTCACGGGCAGCTGGTAAGGGTCGAACGGGAAATAGGGGTCAAGCTGGTATGCTTCCTCGTCTTGCGCTCCCGAGCCCGTATCTCGGAGTGCGCCGCCTGTGCCGTAGGTGTCTGATACGAATTGTGACAGTCTAATCCGCTTGTTCTCCTCGACGCGCGGGAAGATGTACATAAGACCGAGCTTGTGTGACAGTGTCGCGAACTCCTCGACAATAGCCGGTGCGCAGATCTTGAGAGGGTTCATCTTGCAGTATACGCTGGCAGAGAGCTCTTCTCTCATCCCTTGCATCCATTCCAGCTCGTGACCAAGATACGATGCGGGGTCCTCTGGGTCGACAAACTCGGGTGTAGACACGATCAAGTCGCGCCAGCGGAAACAGAACATGTACAGAGCGGCCTGTACTTGTGCGTAGTAGATTTGGTGCCTTCTCAGATCCGGTCCTCGAGCGTCCGCGTCGTGCTTGAGGCGGTAAATTTGCATCTGCTTGAGCAAGAGCGCAAATACTGTGCGCACCAAGTCGGACGGCACGTGGGCCCCTCGCGCCATGAATCCGGCTAGGTATGTTGCCGCCGCTTGACGCACGAAGCTCGGTCGGTTTTGCGAACCAAAGATGTGCATCAGACTGCCGACAAAGGTGTCCCGCAGGCGAGCTGACATTTGGCCAAAGTGGAAGAGGAGGAACTGGGTATGACGAGACTTGTACGTTGGCAGCACGATTTTTCCAAATGACTGTACGAGCAAGGCATATCGCTCCCATGCTTGATCCGAGTCGGGGTTCTCGAATAGGGGTGTGTAGTGGGCGAACAGCGTATCGAGGATAGCATCCAGCTTTTCAACATTGCCCTTGACCACGCGAATCTTTTCTTCATTGTCATCAAAGTCGGAATCATCGCTGTCGACGGACTCGTCATCGCTGTCCTCGTCCGAAGCATCCTCATCGCCCTCCCATGAGCCGGTATCCAAGGACTTGCTGAGCGCGTAGGCAACTGATGCCGTAAGGTCGTCGTCGAGGTCGTCGAGATCCGTCTGCATCTGGACATCAATCTTAACCAGTCGTGACAGCAGCACGTCGACAATTTCGAGGTCCAAATCTCCCGCGTATTCCTTCAACCTCAAAAGGTTGTTGACGTAGGCAACGAACATCTTTTTCGGGTCGTCATCGAAGGGGAACTTGGTTTCGAGGAGGCCGCGGAGAACAGGTGTGGCGGCGGGGAACATTTGGAGAATGTACTGAAGGCCGGTGTGTAGCCTTTCGCGCATCGTTGCTCGGCTGACGGTAGGAAAATCGGCAACGCTCCACTCTGATTGTCTGGAGTGGGAGAACTTTTCGACGATCATGGACAGGACATGCGTCAAATAGGATCCCTGGGCACTGACGAGGGCGGCCAGGAATTGGATATACACCTTGAAGAAGTCTTCGTCGCGGCCCAACCACGAGACCTGCAAGACGGTCTTCACGAGGCCATTGCATGCCTTGTTCTTCAGCAGCGGCACGCAGCTGGTCAGCGCCAGAACGTAGCCCTTGAGCTCTTGGGGCTTGAGCGTATCCTCGTCTTCTCCGGCGACGGGTGGCAGGTATCGCTGCTTGTCGTTGGCGAAAATCTCCTTGAGCATGTCGTAGTCCTCGTCCTCGCCCATGAGGTGCTCCTCCAGTGCCTTCCTCACTTCCGAGTTGACCTCGTCCATTGAGCGACTGCCAAACTCGAAGACGCGGTTGTTCATTTCGTTGATGAGGACTTTCCGCCTCTTTGTCGGGCTCGAGGGCGGGTCATCGAACTCGATTTCGTCAGCTTTCCTCCGGCCGAGGACTGTCGTTTGACGCAAAATGCTTTTGATGGGCGTCGCCGTTCTCGGTGGTGGACCAGACCGGTGTCTGGAGATTGGGGTGAAAGGACGCATGAGATTGGGTTGTTTGTGGTGGTCGAGGCTCTGTGCTCTCGCCTTCGTCTTTCCTCTCTTTCTTTCGGCGGCTCGGGCTCGAGGTCAGAACTTCACAGTGGTCGGCGGCTGGGAATTCTCATTGAAGGGTCAACGTGTGGCGCGAGGATCTGCAGAGAAAGTCGTTATGCATGTCTCGGTCTCTTGCGACAATGTAGACTCGCTTCGAATTCTTATCCTCGAAAGAACGTGTTGGTTTCTGGGCGTTGTTGTGTCGGCCGACCGAGATTATTTCGTGGTACGGTGGCGGTTGGTTGCCTGGCAAAGTTTCTGGTTCGGCGTGAGCTGCCGCCGACGCTTTTTTTCGTCGAGTGGGCTGCCCGCCGTTCTGTTTGGCTGCGAAGGGGGGAAAATTTTGAGACTGGAGGGGCTGCGCACGTGCCTCGTTCAACCTGGACTTGGGCTGGTGGGCTGCCCCAGGCTCAGTCTTTCAGAGCACTCAAGACCCCTGGAATTCGTCTGGACCGTGCACTCTCGGTAATGGAACAATGACGGGAGCTTGGTGGAATCTAAGTGGCGGCCGAGATACTGGGGAACCTTGAAGCCTATGACGACGTCCTTTAAGCTTCTTATTGGATATCTATTTCAACATACCATGGATGCCTACACCTACTTTACATACACACCTCACGGTATGAAGAAGTTGGATGATCAGGTCAGCCAGCAGCTATAGACTGACCACGCTGCACGAGAGCAAACATTAGATGACAACTGAGTCCATGTGCCTCGTTCGTTTGCGCGACGGAAGTGGAATAACAAGCTATCTGAAGTGCTGTAGCTACTAGTGCTTTGGAGATACGGCCCGGGTCCGTTTCCAAAAGCTTCGATGCTTGCTGAACTGCTCTCTGCCGATGCTCCAAGACCACTGATTGGTTGAGCATGGCTTACTGAATCGCAACGCCATTGGGGGGAATCTATCAAATAGACAATTGAGTCAAAGAAAAGACGAACCCCTTCCACTCCACACTTTTGGGTTAACCGTTCCGCTCCCCTTTCCATAACTGACTCCTGAGGCCCTCATATACAACCATGTGCCCCATTTCCATCCATGGCCAGGTAGTCTGAAGACTCCTGCCTCCGTACTTATACAGACTTGAACAAATGTCCAGGCGACCTTCATTCGTCGGGCTTGGTCGTCGTTAAGTCGCAACTAGTACATATATGTCGAGATGGAAAAAAAAAAAAAAAAAGATGAAATCGCCCTTTCAAAACACTATCCAGCCGTCTCAGGTGTGAATCACATTACTGGTAGCCGTCGGCGCCGCCGGTACCATTGTGCCCCGTCTGCGCGCCGTACATGTAGCCCTGAGCGTCGGCGGTGCTATCTCCTTGCTGGCCTCCGAGGACGCTGTTTTGTGGCTCGGCTTGGAAACTTCCTGCTCCGGTTGGCGGGTTGGCGCCGTAGCCACTGCTGCCTGGACGGTGGGAGGTTTCTCCCCTGTTGGACTGGGATTGCTGCTAGAACCGTCAGTTGAGCTCATTAGTCCTGTTTAGAAGATGATGACGGCGGAGTTCTGAGCCGATATATGAACTATACATACTTCTCTGTATTTCGAGAGGTAGATCTTGAGGGCCTCTGCGTAGTTCTCGAACCCCAAAGAAGTCATGGCGAATAGAATGTCTTCTCCGTTAACCGTCTTTCTCTTCTCCTGATGACACTTCTCCGAGGCTGTGATAGGTCAGATATCTCTTCAATCTCGTTGCCCCTAAGCTCGGGGAGAGCAGCGGTAAGAAATTGCACTTACCCTCACTCGTGATGAAGGAGATGAACTCGCTGACGCATTCCTGCATGCATTCTTTCGCTTCCTTGGCGATCTTTGCGTTTTCAGGGAGCGCATTCTTCATGATGCGGGCGACTGGAGCAAAGTTTCGTATATTAGCGTCAAGTTCATCGTACTTCTCACCGCCAGAAGCACCTGTTGTTTCTGGCGACTTTGGTGACGATTCGTGAGACATTGATCCCTTCTAGCCCTACGCTGTCGTCTTTGGTGATGTTTTGGTTGACTGTTTCGCAGCCAACGTCAAAGAACAGCGAGCGGAAGCGGAGAGCAAGCAAGCAGACTGGCCAATCCAGGTCATAGACCATAGTCATAGCAACCGCAGGCAAACAAAAAGCCTCAGGTCAAGCATCGTCGTCGTCGTAGTCGTCGTCGCTGTCTTCTTGATTTCGTTGGGGAAGGGGATCTGGCTTACCATTGGCTATGGGCAACCAGCGGTCCTGCTCCTTGACCTCGAACTCATAGGTGAGTCCACCTGACTGTGGGTCTTGAGCCTCGTTCATTTGTTCCTCTTCCGGTGATTGTACACCTTGGTCGACATCCTTGGGAGGAGATTGGGGGGAGTCCGACATATTTGGCTACCTGCAGCGGCTGCTGGCGTTCTTGTAATTTGCTTGGGCTGTTGCAGCTCGCACACACGATGGGCTTAGGATGATGTGTTCCCTGACACGTTGCAGGTCCGTAGGGCTTGCAAGTCTGGCGGCTTAGCTGCAGAAAGTGTGCGTCAATCCTGTCCTGGGCTGTCCTGGAAAGGATTATTTTTACTCGCGATCCCCTGGCAGGCCCTGTCTTGACTTCAGGCTATGACGGATCTTCCTGGGGTGGCCTGTATGCTGCCTTGCCCGGGTTGAGTTTGGCGACAGAGACTTGAAAAAAAGCGGGATGAGGGTGGCTGCGTTTGCGGGTCCCACAGGAATGGCCAACGTCTAGTCCAAGGAGAGGGTAGCGTCGAACTGGCAAAGACGTTTCTCGATCGCCCTGCTGCAGCTGTGGATATGCGCGGTCCTCCGGGTTGGTGCTCGAAGCTCGGCGCGGGTTTGACCTGTAAGGCGGAAGGTAGATGGGGTTTGCGAGTCGCGATGGGGGTGGGTGAAGTTGGGTCGAATCAGGTATCCCCAAGGCGAAGAGAGGTAAGGTACTTGTGTGAGCTTTTCGGGGCGGAGGTGCGGAGCGCTGCGTCGAAGAGGCGTGTGGGCAGCCGGTCCGTTAGTGGTACAGTACGGATTTTCGCGTGTCGTTGAGACTTTTGGCGGAGCTTTGGGCGCGCAAAGAGTCGACCTATGGTTACACACCGGTCGACCGGACGGGAAAGCCGTGATAGGGGAATCAAAAGGTAACAGCTGCAAAAGCGCGTCAGAGAAAAGCTTCGCTTGACCCGAACGGGACGGAGAGTGAGAGAGAGGGACGGGAAACGGGGCGTAAGAGGAGTGGGAAGAGGCCGAGCAGTGAAGAACCTAAGCACTCAACGCGCGCGTTGTGTGTGGTTGTGTGTGCGTGTGGTGTGTGTGGTTGGGGGGAAACATGGGAGAGGGGCCAGCAAGTGCCGTCGACAAGGGGTTGTAGAATTCTTTTCCTTACGTGAATTTGGGGTGTCTGAGTTGTTCGATCGAGGTCGCAATAGACCCTAACAATGCGCCTTGAATGGAGGATACACCTGTACTTGTTGATGGCTGCAAGAACGTGGGGTTGGTGCAGAAGGGAGAAATGGAGGGAAAGTGGGCAATGAAGGTGCGGTCAACAAGAGGCCGGCGCATTAAACACAATAACAAGGCCAAAGTCCCTCAAAGTCGCGCTGCCGACCAGCCGTCTTATCGATAACGTGATGAGTACTTCTGAGCTGTATTCATTCTACACCACTTAGGCAAGTACCTGTCAGCTCCATGCCGTCCTCCAAGGTTTAGCGCGGTACCTGGATCCCCCATCCATCTGATCCTCTTTCCTAACACCACGCGGCTGAGGGGATGCGCTCCGAACCTGGAAGCTGCGACTGCTTTTCGCATACTCCATTTTATTTACCAAGCTCACGCGCTCGGATGTCAGTTTGGGCGTCTGTCAGTCTGACGACATCTTCGACCCTGCAAAACCCCCCGTCAGACCACGAGGCATCCGAGATCAGAGATCAAAACTACCCTCCGGAAGCTAAGAATCCGTCGTCTGCCAACACCACCACGGGCTCGACGAAAGGTACAAGAAAGGCAGCTCATCTTTACCTCTCCCATCCCTTCCGACACTCCTGCCTAGCAAAGTTTGATGTGTCATTGCATGCATTCATGCTGTATCAACACGGACGCTGGTCATCCTGCCCGTCCTCCCGTATATGAGCGGTGTACGGATGGGCTGCGCGAAGCCACTTCACTAAGCTCAGAGGAGGGTAGCAAGCACGGCTACCTTGCCTTTCATCGGCCCATGGCGGACGCCAAGCGGGTGCATGAAGCACAACCGACAAAACGGGACGGAAGTATGATGTGAGCTTCTGTTCTTGCAAGTCTGCTGATGATACCTTTGATCTTGAGGTGGGGAAACTAAAGACGTCCGCTCAGGAGCATCGGTAAGCTCTATCGCGCGGGCCCATGCCCATCGTCCTCAACAGTTCGTCATCAAAAAGAAAGATGCAGCTGGCGCAATACGACAATTACCTATACCGATGTGGATTCATCGGCCGTGCGACTTGTGGCAGTTTGGGTAGCTCATCCGTTGCGACAAGACCGAGTGGGAGGGCGAGGGCGCCGGCTGATTTGACAATGGCACCGTCTGGAGTAAACAAGCCGTCGAACCTGTCAGCTGTCTTTCTCAACATCGCCCCCAACCAGACCGTGTCAGGCACGAGAAGGCTGACGGCAGCCTAAGCAAGCGCCCTGAATGACGACCGCTTGGGCCGAAACGTGCACCTTGGTTGGCTCGTACAGCTACTTGCCTCTTCGGGCGCGATAACTTTGGAGAGGAGCCTCTTCAATGGGCCATTTGAGATTCACGTACACAAGGCTGCGCAACATGACGTCCAATGATGTTTCTTTCGCCTCGCAGGAGACGAGAGAGAGCCCGAGTTGACGTTGGTTGCCCTGGGTACACCAACCAGACGTGCGACTAAACTACCACCTTTAGGAGGAAGAAAGTCGCGGAGAAATTCTTCCAATCTGTCTCAAGGAGGCGCCGGTCACCAATCGGCGGCCCATCGCCTTACAGTACGCCCGACCCTGCATGCAGCGCTGCAACAGACAACCGCCAACTCAGCCAGTCACCCTCATCGAAGTTGGGCTCCTCTGCTCTGTCGGGAGCCAATAACCCTTTATTTGGATTGGGCTCGGATTGGACGATGCCTGCCGCAACAAAAATGAAGGACCACCACCAAAAACTCCTGCGATGCAGTGATGCGCTGACCTTCCACTCTTGTTTTCCACGACCCTAGTCCGGATGATGCGGTTCCTACCCCTCCTTTTTCCCACTCATCATGGCGAGAGGGGTACGCAGTATGTATACCGTATCAGTATCCGTTCGCACTTCGGCCTTCCCTCGCCGTTGCGGGTGATTTCATGTCACAGACGAAAGGGTTGCATGTGTTGGCTGCGCTGCTTCTCACCCCAGAGCTGGTGACAACTCAGAGCTACATTTTGTGTCGACCCTGGTCTCTCACAGCAGCGCCGAGGGGTACCGGTCTGGTCTCTCTGCGTGAGCCATCAAGCCGTTCAACTACCCGACACCAGCATCGGGGAACAGGGCGATGTCGTCGCTGTGTCAATTTCGACTGTCAAGTCCTGCGCCCTGTCTACAACTCAATATGACCCTTTCTCGACATCATCCGAGGCCTAGGTATGGCCATGCATTACTAGGTCTGGGCGGTCGTCAATAACCCACTGCCTGTGTCCGAGACCATGTCCGTATTGGGTAGTCCATGATGTTGCCAACCCACTTACTGAATGCGATTTCGTACTTGTACCTACAGGATGCATGCGACTATGAGGAAACTCCATGGAAGAGCGAGGCGGATCTAGACCACTGGTTGCCTCCCGCATCTATTTGGTCCGCGGCCGACCACGGATCAGGGCCAAATCGTGCCGCTCGTTGGGCATCAGCTCGAGCAAGCATGATATCACGGCTGTAGGAACCCTCAGAATGGGAACATCAGTCGATCACCGCAGACCTCACGTTTCATCCCTTGGCACTTTACGAATCGGATGACCGCCTTCTGCCCATTAGACAGATAGGCTCCATATACGCACACGCGGGACAGCTTCTGACGTCTGGCCAGGCTCCAACCCGTCGCCGGTCACCATGGGCCGGTCCGCCTCCGCTCCGTGGTGCCTTCTCTCCCGAGTGGGAGACAAATTTCATGTGTTTAGCGTCATTCTTTCGAAAGGAACAACGTGAGCTAATAGGTAGGCACTGGTCTCGTAGCCCCGAAAAAAGGAGGCTTTCAGACGCGAGCGAACTGCCGTCAGGTTGTCAGAGGCCGCACGCAGCACACCTTTTCGTCACTAGGCCGCAGGACAGGCAGCCAGTAAGCACGCCTCGCCAGTTGGGTCGATCTCAGCCAGCCATCTTGAATCGCCAGATATGCCAATGATCTTTTCTCAGTGGTGTGTGCCAGTCTGACGACCTTTGCAAGTACGATCTTGTTGGGTACTGAAACGCGGCTACCGCCGTTATCTCTATTGCTTCCGAATGTCTCACAAGTCTACGACGTTGAACAACGCATTGCTGCCACTGCGTGGTCTTCATGTCTCTATTTTCCTGGGGCTGAGACGTATTGCTGAGTTGGCTTCCTCCTCTCATCGTAGCATCAACCCATGGGTATATTCGATGCCGCCTCATTTTGGACGCCTTTGATATTCGCATGACGACTTTGCTGTCCCTTGTGTTCTTCTCGGTAGTGGCCGCAACTAGAACGCCTGATCAGGAACAAACGACGAAGAAGCTGTCTTTTTTCCCCCGTCCAAATCACCCGTTCCGTGGATCTATGCGCAGCGAGCAGACCGAAAGGCCTTCGTCGTCAGTCTGCTGCACAGAGACTCTCGAAGCCAACGTCGCAGACCAACATTATGGTGACCCATTTCCAATGTTCCTAAGTCTCAGTTCTGGACAACCTGAACATTGTTCTTCTTCTATAATTCCACATTCGTCAGTAATCGTTTACAACCCAGTGACCTCATAGCAGGGCGGAAAAAAGGAGCAACGTCTCTTGCATCAAACACGAACCTTCCACTTCTCCAGTTCGTCCTGCTTAGCCTTGTACTGCTTGACAAGGTCTTCCAGGACCTTCTTCAGACCTTCCGAGTTAGTCGTCAGGGCGGGCATGACGTCCTTGACCGTCTGCTCCATGAGGACCCCGTTGATGAGGCGGAAGCACTTCCGGTCCTCGGATAGCGGTTGCAGGGTCTCTAGGACAAGCCTGTGTGAAACGAGTCAAGGTTAGAATAAGAATGGTTCATTTTCCGTGAGAGGCGGTGTGCCGGGGAGAGAGGAAACGAGGGGGAAGGGCGGGAAGGGGGTTCATCAAGGGTTCGTCATTTGAGTTTCTGAAGGAATGAACAGTGAAGAGCGGTGTGATGAGGGCGAACAGTTGGCGGAGGGCCATGCCGGAGTGAGTTCCGGTTTGAGAATGAGAGAGGGGAAGAGAGAATCCATCATGTGCCTATACCACCCTTTTTCCTGGATGACGAAGGGTTCACGATCTCATCCAGGATATTGGTGACGGCCTTCCTCTGTCTCTCAATATTACGACGGCGCGGTGAGGGCATAAGATGAAGTGAAGATGAGGAAGACTCGGAATAGGAAGAGAAAGACGCACTTGTGTTCTTCGGCTTCTTGTTCTACATCGCCAATCTTTTGCGCAATCTGTTGCAGGGTGTTCTTGTAGACGCCATATTGCGTTTGCAGGTCTAGGGAAAAGCAGGTTAGCAATGAAAACCATGGCGGGGTTAGATTTCATGTGTTTCTAGCCCGACGATCAGGGTAGGGAGTGAGTGAGTCAACTAACCTTGCTGCTTCTTCTGGCTCACTTGGGCCGCCATCGTGAGGTCAAGTCTGTGAGAGGTGAATGGCCAGGGTTGATGAGACCTCGTTGAAGAAAGTCAGGTAGGCACAATGCAGGGCTATGAATCTCACAGTGAGGGAGCGAACGAACAAGCCTGAGGTAATCGACCCTCCTCTCCACCACCGCGCGCGAGCAGTGACCAACTGTGGGATGGAAGTTCTAGAAGGGTATTCAATGTGGCCCGAGCTTTTGCCGCGCTCTCTGTCACTCTTTGTAGGTACTCCAGCAGTGAGACCACCCCGAAAATGCACAAAGCCCGGCGCGCCGTCTGCTGCCCCACCGAGCCGAAGTGGTCTTATCCAATCCCTTGCAGGCCAATTCCCAATCTTCTATCGCATAGGAAACTCACCGGGAATTTCCTCTGGCGCATTCTACAATCGTGACCACGAAGCAAACACCGACGACGAACAAACTCTTCCTCCCACGACATATTGACAACCCTTCCCTTGACCTTTCTCAATTCCATATACAACCCCCGAAGCCGAATCAAAAATGCATCCTCACCTGCACACCAAGGACAACTTCGGTAAGTTACCAACAAATGCATCCGTCATGATTTCCATCCGCGCCCCTCCTCCTCCCTCTCCCCTTTGGGTCATTCAAACCCCGTCGCATTGCCACACACTACCCCCTTGCCCCCTCTGGGCCTCGTACCAAACATGAGAAGCGTCCATACTAACTGATTTCCTCCTGCGAAACAGAGTGCGAAGACATCATGGTCGCCCTCGAAGAGTGCCACGCAAAGGGCTTCATGTTCAAGTCCCTCGGCGGCTGCAACGACGCAAAGGACAAGGTCAGCGAGTGCCTCCGCGGCGCGCGCGCGAGGCGCACCGAGGCCAACCGGGCTGCTGCGAGGGCCAAGAGGGAGGAGCGCGAGAACCGGATAAAGGAGCTCAACAAGTCGCTCGGTCTCGATTAGACTGCGGATCCAACCACAGAAGCGAACGGACAACGAATGAGCCGCACCCTGTTGCGACTAGACGACTGGTGTATAGGTTGGAGAGAAGGGCAAGAAGAAGCAATGTACTATATCACGAACACTCGCAACTACATCGATTTTTGGGCGACGGCACTTGGGTCGGGGCGGGACACCAAAAATAACATGAGCCATCTAATGGTTTTGGGCGTCCTATAAGGGAGCAAGGGACTGTACCATAGATTGTACTCGATCGATGTTCTCATGTCGGCAGAGAAGAACAAGACAGTAAAATTCTTGAATAATTTGTATTCCTACACAACACTCATACTCTTTTCATCCTCCAACAATCCTACAACTGCTCCCGCACACTCATTCCCTTTACAAAGTGCGACGGAACTCGTTGCCAAAGGTGAAGAGACCAAAGACGGACAGCACACTGAGGAGGATCGGCACCGGCTTGCGGAGGCGGATGGCGCGGGGGATGGCGGAGCCACCGAGGACCGCCGAGGCGAGCAGACTCAGCTCGACGCCGTAGGGCTCGCGGTTCTGGATGCGGTAGCCGCCGAGGCCGTCTGCGCGAGTTCGGGTCAGTTCACTAATGTTGCCAACCTACTAAAGCTACTTATACGACAACATGAGGCGGTGGACGGACGCTGGGAAGAGGATGGAGGGGGGATGTTGAGAGTTGGAGGAAAGGGGAAGACGGCGCAGTGGATTTGCACGTACAGAGAAGACCGACGCTGACTCCGGCGACGATGGATGGGACGGACTTTGTTCGGGCGTAGCCGGCGATGCCGCCTCCGGCCGTCAATACGGCCAGGGCGAAGGAGGGGACAGAGAGGTCAGAGGACTGCGCATGTTGTCTTTTGTTAGCTTTGTGTTCTTGTGCGAAGGAAACAAGTCATTGTACCATTGTGAAGTAGTTTGTTTGTGAGAAATTACTGGTAACACGAATTCAATCGATGTCGAATTGCGATTGAGATGAATTGAAGTGAGAAATAATAACCTAGTTCCTTGGTGAGCAGAGGTGAGGAAGTTCCATTGTTTGCTTGCTTCGGTGCCTCGGGAAGTCCAAGCTTCGGCCTCCCACCCACTCAAAAAAGGAACAGCTTCTGGGAAAGCTGCTGGATGATCTCATCCATCAACGGGTCCCTGACTAATCACGACATGTCCCAGGGGCACGCCGCACCGGGAGTCGCCAGGGACCACCACTGGACTGCTACCCCAGATTCGTGGCTTGGCAACGCTCTTGTCCAGGGGTACAATGCCACACCAGCCACATCTATCACCTGACGCCCTGTGGCTTCAAGCTTTCGTGTCCTCCAGAGCTCCCCCCCAGCTCTCAATTGTACCAGTGACCGCAGTACGTACGCAGCAATCGAGACAATCTGGAAGGAGACATTTCCTCAACTCTTCGGTCCACCACCCACCCGAACTCCCGAATTTCCTCCCAAAATACCGCCAAACTCTCCCCTCCCCTCCCCTCCCCCGATTTCCACGATCAAAAACCCCAACAATGGCACCCAAGCGAACCGCCTCCTCCCAAAAAGCAGCACCTGCTGCTGCCGCGCCCGCAGTCCACCACCCCGAGCCGCCCACCTCGCCCGCGGGACCGACCGCCGCCGCCGCGATCCCGGGCACAATGACCTCGCAGCCCAAGGCCGTACCCATCACCATGACCCCCAAGAGCACCGGCAGCGGCAGCGGCGCCCAGAACTGGGACCAGGTCCTGGCCAACATTTACAACCACTACGTCAAGAGCACGCCGCAGCGCACCAAGCTGATTGACGTCTTCATGGCATTCTTGGTCGTTGTTGGCGCGCTGCAGTTCCTGTACTGCGTGGTTGCTGGAAACTACGTATGTCTTTTCTTATATCTTACCCTCTCAATTGGTTGGAGGATTCTTGCCTCTTGGAAATCACAGATGGGGATTATTTGCACAGTTATGGCTGAAGGAACCTTGGTGGATCATCACATGGAAACCTACGGACGAACAATTGCTAACGTCATGATGCGAAATAGCCCTTCAACGCCTTCCTCTCTGGTTTCTCTGCCACCGTCGGCCAATTCGTTCTCACTGGTAAGACAAAATCAGAGCAGCACACTTTACAATTGCTGACATTAGTCGTTTAGCATCCTTGCGCATCCAGACCACCGAGGCCAACAAGTCCGACTTCCCCTCCGTATCACCTGAGAGGTATGCCGGTCCCCTTCTCCCCTCTCCTCAGTCGCAAAAACACACGAACGGAAGACAAGTACTACAGAGACTGATACCATAATGATAGAGCTTTTGCCGACTACGTCGCATGCAGTCTGATTCTGCACTTCTTCTGCGTCAACTTCATAAACTAAGAGCACGTACCAGATGAAAGGAACAGGAGACGAGTTTTTGATCTTCCAGTCAGGACAAGAAAGGGGGGTGTTGGTCCCCAAGGCCAAAGACTGAGGTTCGATGCAGGGGGTGGATAGACCAATTGGTGGTGAAGCATCAAAGCTACAACACCACAATCGCATGAGCATGCGGAACGAACAAAGCAATGTACATTATTTGAGCAGGCGTTGCATCACAGCACGGTAGATGTCTAAGAGAAGAAAAAAAGTGCAATTCTGGGAATCATCATGGCAGCGGACTCCAAAATTCTAGTTCTATAATCCTGACAACCACCCACCAGCCTCAGCTTCCTAACCCCTGCCCTATCACTCAGCACCCTCGGCCGCAGGCTGATCCTTCGGTGGTCCCGTCGAACCAGCTCTAGGCGGCGGCGGCGGTCCCCCCATCTTCGGGGGCGGCGCAACAGGCGTACCCCTCCCGCTGGGCGCATTATCCGCCTCCCTGCTCTTCTTCTCCTCCTCCTTAAAGTAGTCATCCATGAAGTTATTGTTCCCGCCGTGATGCCTCTCCTTCTTCTTCCTCGTCGTCGCCGTGCCCGCAGGAGGCGGCGGCGCCGCGGCGCCCGCGCCCATCATTTGCGCCGGGACCAAGAAGTCACCCCCCGTCGGAGGAGGAGGTGCGCCGAGACCAGGCGTGGCGGGCGAGAAGAGATTCTGCTGCACCTCGCCTACGGGGCCCGCGTTCCCGTACAGCGCGGCGGCCGGGTCGGCCTTCTCCCCGCCAGCATCGAACATCATCTCGCCCGGCGCGTCGACGGGCTCGTTCAGCGGCGCAGGTAACCTGTGCAGCGCGCCGTACCCCAGCACGCACCCGAGCGCGCCTTCGCCACCCCACTCGCGCGTCGGCTGGATCGTCACCTCGCGCGTGACGTCGTACTCGTTGTTGTACACGTACAGGCGCAGCGGGCGACCGATATGGTCCTCGACGAGCTCGCTCAGCCCGCCCTCGCCGTGGAGGGCGCCCTCGGGGCTGCCGAGGATATAGTCGCCGTACGGGAGGAGACCCGCGCCGTCAGCGGGGGAGTTTGCTGCGACGTCGAGGACGTGCCAGATGTTGGCGGCGACGGCGAGGGGGGTCCACTGCAGTGAGAGGCCGAGGGAGGCGGTGTCGTGGGGGACGAGGGCGTGGAGCTCGCGGGTGCGTTGACCCTTTGCGGACCAGAGGCCTAGGGAGACGGAGCCGCCTGCGCAGTTGCGGACTTCTTGGGCGAAGAGGCTTGGGTCGGGGTTGTCCTGGTGTGGAGGGGCGGCTTGTTAGTATTTGTTTCTAAGATGGGATGTATACTGGGCCACGAAGATTACGTACGATGGGCCGACCGTTGATGCCAATGATGAAGTCAAACCAAGGCTCAACGTTGAGTTCGAGGTTCGTGTTGCGGAGCACCTGGAAACCGAAGGAGCCCTGATTGTTCTGCTGGGTTGGTTGCTGCCCGTCCAGGCGGGACATGAAGCGGTTCAGCGCATTGAACATGGTGATGCGCTCGACGCTCGAGCTGAGTTGTCTTCTTGTATCGTTTGTGTTTTTGCAAGACCAGAAGATTCGGTACGGTACGGAAGATTGAGATCGGTATTGAGGTCTGTGGTGGCTATTTACCCGGTGTTTGTCGTTACGAGCATTCCATTCGTTCCTACGTGGAGCAAGCTGTCATCCAAGGTCCCCCATCAGCCTTGCAGATGATCCAAGCTTCTTTCCACACTAGTGGGGTCACCAAGTGGGACCTGACTTTTTAGCTTCCTGTTGCTTCAGCCTCGTTCATCTCATTTTCCATCACTGGGCGACTTTCTCTTATTAGTCTCAACATGTGATACTGTCTCGATGGTTCTGATCAACTAAACTCTTAATCCATAGAAACCTCCCTGATCACAGAGGGAACTGGGATTGAGGTTACCTCACACTTCATGCATCACCAACAAAATGAAGGCGGCCACCAGACTCCCCCTAACGGATGAGTGCCACCACTACAAGTCCAAGGCAGAAGTGCCTTGGGATCTTCAAAAGTGAGCCAAACCCCTCTCCTTTCGATCAAAGGTCACATCGCAACAGAAGCTAACAAGACATCTAGATACTTTTCCCAGCGCTACTCCCTCTTCTCCTGGTACGACGAGGGCGTCTACTTAACAGACAGCGCCTGGTTCGGCGTGACCCCCGAACCCGTCGCAAACCAAGTCGCAAACGAGATGTACCACACCGACGCCTCGAAACGCGTCCTCGTCGACATCTTCGGCGGCGCCGGCGGCAACACCATCGCCTTCGCCCTCTCGGCTCGCTGGGACCGCGTCATCTCCATCGAGCGCGACGCCGCCACCCTGGCGTGCGCCCAGCACAACGCAGAGCTGTACGAGGTCGCGGAGTACATCACCTGGATCCACGGGGACTGCTTCGACTACCTCCGCAAGCTGAGGGAGAGCCCTGAGGAGCTCAGTGAGGAGTTGAGGGTGGACATGGCCGAGACGGTGGTCTTTGCTTCGCCGCCTTGGGGTGGCCCGGGGTACCGGACCGCCGAGGTGTTTGATCTGAGCAAGATGGAACCGTATAATCTGGAAGACCTGCACGAGGCCTGCAAACCCATGGATCATGCGCTGTATCTCCCTCGAACGAGTGATCTGAGACAGGTGGCGAAATTGGCCCCGGAGGGAGAGAAACTTGAAGTAGTGCAGTATTGCATGGAAGGGGCGAGTAAGGCAATGGTGGCATTCATACCGGGAACGCTGAGCACAACACAATCAAAATCGTAATGAACATTTCTTCTTGTTCTAGCTCTTTCAATAAGGGCCACACTCTAACAAGCAAAACCTGCTTTTACAACGCCTTGACAACGCTACGTTCATCGAACAAATCCTTCAATAAACCCTGAACACAAAACTCCCGGTCTAGTGGCGCCATCGCGTACGTCGACTCGAAAGCGTAGATACTGAGCTGCCCAAAGAACGGCCGTAGGATCTTGCCCACGAGCTCGTCCTTTCTATCAATGCTCACTTCGTCATTGATGCCGCCAGGTCCAAGCAGTGGTCGTCTATGGGAGCTGCTCGTGGCCAAGTGCGCTGCAGGATTGCTACCCAACGAAGAGCTGGCACCCATAGTGCCAAGCTCCTCTGCAAGCTCATCGACTAGTGCAACAGGTTGGTAGTTGCTGGATCGATACACAGCGTCGATGGTGTCCGTGACGAAGAGCCACTCGTGAAGCTGGAAGTCATCCGGCGCAACGCAAATGAGCAGGTCTAGCAACTTGCAGGCTTGTAGGATAGAGATGTTGTTGTAGGTATCAGATGCGGTGCTGTGATCGGCAGCCACGACAGACGCGATGGCTGCATGAAGTTCGGCGTTAATAATCGGCCATAGCATAGCCAGGTGGATAGCACTGGTCTTCAGCACAAGTGCGCGGACAAGCATGAAGATCTCCGCTCTTGTTGTAGAGGAAGGTGAGGACGTCGCCGTGGCGCCGAGAAGTTCCACTACTTTGTCAGTAATGATGGGGAGCTCTGTGACAAATGCGTCCTCCGTAGCTGCGAGGACTAGCGACGCAGTGCGACGAAGGTTGAGCTGCGTCTTCCGATCTGCCTCCAATCGAGCGGAAGTGGCACCAACACCAAACACGATGCCGGCCGTGGTGGGCGGAGTTATGCGGGCCAGAAGCTCAGGCATACGTTCCTTGTCACTGACAGTCCATTGTCTAAGCAACGGCAACCAGTCGCTTCGGACGAGCTCAATGCTTGAGCTGAAGAACCGAGCATCGTTAAACGCGTCTCCAACATCCTTCTTCCACGTTTTTTGGTTATTGGGTAGCCTGGACAGTTCTTGTAGTAAGACTAGTGTGTGCTTGGACACAGTATCAGGGAAAGCCTTCGCTCTGAAGGCTGGATTGATGACATTTGTTGAAATTGTACCGGCTGCGGACAGCACACGGTCCGTTTCGACTAGGATCTTGGGTAGGTTCGGCACGATTGAGGCCAAGATTGCGACCACATCCTCGGCTCTATCGAGGACGCTAACCAGGGCAATCGTGGGGGCGCGGCGAACACCGTCGCGGTTCTTTTCCGACTTGTCGTTTGGTGCCGTATCTGAGAACGTCAGGGGCTTGGTTGTGAAGATCGCCGTTAGGAGCCGGAGGAATAGATCCTGTCCTATTTGTTAGTGTGTTCTTTATAGCATGTGTTCAGGTAATAATGCTTACCCCGAGCTCACGTCTCATCTTCCGCTGCTCCCCGAAATTGGTATTGTCGACCTTTTCGCCTAGGATAGCCGCGAACTCCAACAGACTTGGTAGTGTCTGTCTGTGTGGGAAAGGATTTGTGAGTAGATCACGCAGGAACGCCATGCAGTCGAGCCAAATCTCGTCCATTGCGTCGTCCTCCAGCGAGCGGGCATATTCAACCAGGAATGTGACGAGGTCAATGTCTTGGAGAGATGTTGTCAACGTTGATTTCCTCGAAGCGTCCAATGCCCCGGGGTTCGTTCTGCTGTAAATAGCATTAAAGATGGCAGGGATAGTGTGCTTTGGTCGTGAACCATCCAACGCTGGTAAGAGGTTGAATACTTCTGATTGTGGTACAGGTGTTGTAATATTGATAGAGCCCCGCCAGATTTCGATGACTGTCTCGAGACACTCCAAGGTCTCTGCTGCGAAAAGGTGCTCAAGCAGTCGTCTCGCCCGGTTTCTCATTCGAAGAGATGTGTAGTTGAAGGACGAAACAGATGTCAAGTCCTGAGCATTGATATCGCCCCCTTGGCCCCAGGACCAGATTGTGAAGCAAATGCGAACAGCATCTGCGAACGCAAGGTGCACCGTGAGTCTATCATTTGCGGTGGCACTCCGCGCTTGTGGGGCATCCGAGGTGAACACACCGGATACCATGGTGCCAAAGAACCCCGAAGGCTGCTGATCCGGACCCTTGACAACTTGCGTTCTGGCCTCTTCAATCAGAAGTCGCTCGTGTGCCCGGGCCAGTACTTGCTCCAAAGCGTTGAGTAGCGAGATCAGTGTAGACTCTGGCGCATTCCGGTCATCCTTCTTTGAATTGCCGTTGTCTCGGAATATGGATTGTAAGTCACTGAAAGTGTTGGAGACTTGTCTACATAAAGTCTCCACAAGAGGAATGAGCACCTGGAAGATGGTATCGGAGTAGAAGGGTAAGCATTCCGTCAAGAAGCTGACCCAACTGTCGAGAACACTGCGACTGCTGGGAGAGCTTAAGCCAGCCTGGAGACACTTGAGCAAGTTGGGAGGTGGTGATGTCGGCTTGGCCTCTGACTGTGTCGATACTCTAAGGCTCTTGCTCGGTTCAAGACTCAGCTTTCTCTTTTCCGATGACGGAGAAGCAGGTACATCGGAGATGATCATGTCTCGGAGTTTCAGTGCATCGAACACGACGTCCAGCAGAAGAACCTGAACGTAGGGGTCGGGTCCAGCGAGCGATTGGAGGAGACGCTCGATGAGAACATTCTCGAGATGGAGGCTTCCAAGGGGCTCCGCGTAGGGGTTCAGGAGAATTTGGTGCATGACGGTCAAGGCATAGCGGTGAAGTTGAGTTGCTCGGACTCGGATGTTTTCGTCTGCAGGTTCGTTGTTGCCAGCGATGCACCGTAGACAAACGTGGATAAATACCTCTTGCATTGAGATGTCGCCTTCATGACCAGCTGTTACGGGTAAGCATCAGGTACCTTCAGTCAGGATTTCCTACTTACTCATCTGCGCGACATCCGGATGTCCACCATCCACGGTGATCGTTGTAGAAGCCAAAACCGCCCAGATCACGTCTGGCGCCCAGCGGAAAACATTCGACAGAGTTCTCAGGTAGTAAAGGCAAAGATCCAGATCGTCTTCAGCCGTGAACGTTGTTGAGTTGGTCGAAGTTGATGCCGACCCGATGTCGGTGCTCGCTCTAAGGAACTCTAATGCAGAAAACTTCCTCACGAAAAGCAAGAAGAGTCTATTGACGTCAGTAAACACTCTGGGTCAATACCTCTAACGACGGGCAAACCTACTTATCGATACCGACCAAGCTATTCAGCCATCCCTTGACAGTCATGAATAACTGGGTTCGTTCATCCAAGAGGGCATCGAGCATGAGAAAGAGAGGTCGCGTCAACATGACATCGTAGTTCTCTGACCCAGCCAGCCGGATCTGTGGAGGCTTCTCGGTCATGGGTGTTTTTGAACCCCGCCTTTCAGCACTGGAATCCTGCAACGTATGAGACCAAAGCACGCTGAACCTGCGGCCAGCATCGGCGGGACGTGATGCGAAGGACCCCTGAACGTCATTCTCGATAATGAGGCTGGCCAAGGCAGCCTCTATATCTCGATTCTGTGATGTAAGAGCAGTTTGAAGCTGCCACAATGATCTCACAGTCTCGACGTGGTACTTTGGTTCTGAAGCTGACAGAAACTCCCAAGCTTGTTGGACGAGTGGCGTGACAAGTTCGGTTAGGTTTGGCACCTCTATGCGCTCTGCAGAGTAAAGATGGGCGGAGAGGTACAGAATTGAGTTGAAGGAGGTGAAAGACAATGTGCTCGTGTGATTCAAACGCTCGTGAAGACACGAGAGGAGGAACGTTGTGTCAAGCTGGTACGTAGTCGGCACTTTGAGTAGTAGGGCG